AAGCAGATAAACATCACATTTACATTTTTGGGTGAACTATCCCTTTAAAATAAATGTTCAGTGTAGCAGTGTTGTTATCAATAAAGAGGCTGGCTACTATTAAAATCATTTTCTGCAATTAAGATAAAGCTGAAATAACAAAAAAATAAAATAGATTGAAATAAAATAAAGCTAAACAGAATCATTATTATTATTAACGACAAAATCACATAACAACATGACTAAATCATAAATTGAAATAAGAATGAAAACTGAAAATAAAAAATACATTTAAAATATTAATAAATAATATATAATACAAACTGGATACTTCAGATGCTGCGGTGAGCCTTCATGCAACACAATCAGAGTTAGAAAAATCATAACCTGGCTTATTAGGGGTAATGCATCAAATCTATTTCCAATCCATAATCTATTCCATTATCTATAATCATAATACATTAACTAAACAGGTCTCTGTCTCACGTTTCATGCAATAATCTCGGCACTTGTACATCCCAGGTGTTGATTTTTAAGCAGGTTTCGGGGGGTAATTTTATGCATTACGACTTGGCATCATCATTTATTTTTGCTACATTTATTTGTAGATTGTATTGTTATACCCACATACCAGACCCAGACATTCCATCGTAAAATATAACATTTATCATAAAAATATATTTATTACAGGTTACAACTATATTAAACTATGACTATAAAACTCTTTTTTAAAACATTACAACACCCAAATGTAGTCATTTCCACCACAACAGTGTTGCCCCTAAACGTTCAACTTTTCCCAAAGGTTACTGCACTTGTTTATAGGACATCCTATGTAAGAAAAGAAAAAAACAAGAACATTGTAAATAAATAAATAATATTTTTGCACATCATTTCCAATAAATTTGTAACTTTGTCAAATTAGGCAAAAGCTGTGACATTTTATATGCTTGTGTGTATTTTGGATATACTGTATAATGCTGACTATGAAATTAACCTTAGTAAGACAAAGAAGTTAACCATTTGAGATGTAGTTCAAATATCCATGACTTTGAGGGGGAATTTTGTTGAGGGGGAATCGGTGGCATTTACACGCCAGAGGGCGACAGAGAGAAATACACAGACGTGTGCACACAGAATGACTGTATCTAGTTCTGTTAATGTTTTCCATAACATACATCATTTTTTAGAATAATGATAGAAAGCACCTTTCACCATATGGAGGCACAATTTGAACAAATAAATCATCAGAGGACGAGAGACACGTGCCTAAAAAATGCTGGGTTAAATACAACCCAGTGCTGGGTAAAACAGGGACAACCCCAGCAATTGGGTTGTTTTGACCCAGCAGTTGGGTTAAATGTTTAACACAACCTTCTGGGTAGTAACCCAACCGCTGGGTCAAAACAACCCAATTGCTGGGTTTGTCCCTGTTTTGCCCAGCACTGGGTTGTCTTTTGCTCATTGGGTGGATTATTTCTCATGGCCTTTTCCCCTGGTTTATAGCCAGATCCAGGGCTGCTGGCTGACTGACCTTCTTCAGCACAATTAGGGGTGCGCTGGGCACAAACTGACGTGGGGTTCGTCGTAACACACGTGGTTTAAACATTTCCACACATGCTAGCATAGCAGAACTTACTGTATTTACTAGTTGCCACATCAACAGAGAAAAACTGTGGCAAAATTCATCTTTTGAAGATATCGCTGCATTTATTTAACCATAGCAAAAGCACATTTCTGGCTGAAGTAACGTTTTCATCTCAGTTTTTATCATGTCAGTTCATCTCAGTTTTGTTTATTTAAAGTGAGACAAATCTGCTTTTTTTTTTTTTTATCTCCAATCTGTTATTTATAAGTTTACATAGTTGTGTAATGCTTCGCTAACTAGCAGAAGACACTAACCAGACACTAACCAGGTTTATATCTCATAATTCTGACTTCATTTTTCAGAATTGCCCGTTTATATCTCGCAATTCTGTCTTTATAACTCGCAATTGCAAATTCCATAAAAAAAAGTATGTTCCAAAAGGAAGCGATGCAACAGAAGAACCATTTCAATGAAAGAACCATTTTTTCTTAGTTTGAAAAAACATTTCAATCATTTGAAGCCCTTTGAAACCTTTTTCTGAAACCTTTTTTTCCACTATAAAGAATCTTTTTGTGCAGTGGAAAAGTTCTATAGATATTAAAGGTTCTTTATGGAACCATAAATGCCAATAAGATCCTTTATTTTTAACAGTGAATGAATGTTAGAGTCCACTGCTTTCACACTGATGGACTCTATACTCACTCACCTCACCAGGCAAAAGCACTAAAGAACACTTTATAAGAGATCAGTGCGTGTAAAGCATTTCTGCACCTGGTTTTTCAGGGTCAGCAGGTGAAATCATTAGGTTTAGAGGTCAGTGTTCCTACTGGGCAGATGTCAGTAACATTCCCAGACAGCTCTGACACCAGTGTTTTCTCCACATATGTAGCGATCTCCATGGCATTTCCTCTCCCTGTGGTGCTCAGTCCCTCATCGCTAGCAAAACTAGACACAACACAGAAAAATGTGTTTTCTTTAGTTTGCTCACACCGGACACATCGAGTGCTTGAATACAGCATATCATTATGGTTTCGATGAGTGGACTGTTGTTTTTGTCCTGCGAAACAACTCGGATCGCTGCCAAACATCACAAACGGGTCCTAAACCACAGGGACGGTAAAATGAGCTTAGTCAGAGAAAGATGGAACGTCAGGAATGCTTTCAGACAGAAGACACAAATGTCTTTGTTGTGCTGGTGAAAATATCCAGGTGGTTTTATGCTTCATACTTCATTATAAAATATATCAGTAGAGACTCAAAGAGCTGGATGAAAGACAAAATAGAAGACAAGCAGCTTTTTAACCCTGTAAATAATAGTCAGAAAAAAATCACTTTTTTTTTTACATTTTATGGGACTGATTTTCTTTTTTTTTCTTTTTTTCCTTTTTTATCTCACTTTTATGGCTCATAATATATCATAGGCCTATAGTATGATATAGGAGAATGTAGAGCTCAAACTCGAAGGGGTAAAAGAAAAAAACACAAATTTAATTTAGAGGCCCAAACTGAGCAAAAATATGCGATTTGGTGCAATTGTTGATATTTATATAGCAAAAAATATGAAATTCTGATAGTTTGCAATGTAAATAAGTGAGATCTTTCAAATAAAATAACAGACTGCTTACATAAAATAAATACAAATATCAGTTGTCATTCTATATCTCCCAATAAAATGTTTTAACATGCTATTTAAATGTTTTTTCAAATGGTTTTATCAGCGCTCTGCAGTTTTTATTGTGGGGGCAAAACATCTAATTTATATTTGATTTATTTATTTATTTAGTCATTTAGCGGACGCTTTTATCCAAAGCGACTTACAAATGAGGACAATAAAAGCAGTCAAAACTAACAATCATGAATGAAAGATGAACAAATAATCACTCCTCAAAAGCCTGATGCATAATATTTGATACTGATTTGATACTTTTTATATTTTATATATACTCTTTTTCTTTTTTTTGCCGGGCAGATTATTTTCTGCTATGTACTACTTTTTGTAGCAAAAGATTTAACATGGAAAATCCACCCAAAATCAAAAATTCTTTCATCATTTACTCACTTTAATACCTTTCCAAGTGCTTTTGAATTCTTTTTGGGTGAACCAATATTTCAAGTCTATTAATTGCATTGGTAAGTAGCCGTGTAATAAACTGTACAGTTAACCACATTATCACTAAACTGCATTGTTAAAAATATTATTCATCAAGCAAAGTAATTTTAGGAAAATTCTTTGTATACAGCAACTTAACAGGAACCATATGTCAGCTCTGTTTTGTCTGCACCAGTTTGATCGGCCAGCTGCACCTCTCTCTGCAATGAACCAAAACTCATGTCCAACACAATCTCCTGAAATAAATGTGCTCCAACAGAATTACCGGAGATCCTGTCTTTGAGATTTCAAACATAAAAGGTTGACAGATAATTTAGTAGATACTAAAAAGAGCACAGCTGTTTGTATATGTCACAAAAGGTAGTGCAAACATTATAAAACCAAACATCAAAGACAGGTTCATGCCTTTGAACACAGGAATGATGTTTCAAGGGTTTATTTGGTGTATTCAAAGTGCAGTGACTCACTAGTG